GAACTGACTCACTGGAAAAGACCCTGATGCTGGGAAAGATTGAAGGCTGGAGGAGAAGGGGACAACAGAGGATGAGATGGTTCGATGGCATCACTGACTCGATGGACATGAGTTTGAGTAAACTCTGGGAGTTGGTGATGTACGGGGAGGCCTGGTGTGCTGCGGTCCATGGGGTCTCAAGCAGTCGGACACGACTGAGTGACTGAACTGAAACACTGTAATGTAGATTTGAAAGATTTTTGCTGATTAAGTGGATACGAGGGGGAGAGGTTGGAGGCTAGGATGACTTCCAAGTTTCTGGGTCTGAGCACCTTTGGGTGTTGGTGATATTTACCGAGATAAAAATTGGAAGAGAAAGTTACTTGGAGGAGAATAAGTATCAATATTCATCACCGTTATACTCTAGATGTCTCATTCAGGTTGGATGTGATTTGCCGGTCTCTGCAGATCAAGATGGATCTACGTGTTGTTCCTCCATTTGTGATTACAGGATCATAAACAGAATTGGAAGAGATCCTAAGAATCACTTAGTTCAGAGGCTTCCGTGGTGGGTCCAGTGGTTAAGAATCTGCCTCCCAGTGCAAGGGACCTGAGTTCAATCCCTGGTTAGGGAGCTAAGATCCCACATGTGGTGGGGCAAATAAGCCTGAGCTCCGGCTGCTGAGCCTGCCTGCCACAAAGTAGTGAGCCTAGATGCCGCAGCTAGAGAACCTGCATGACAGAGTCTGCAAAGCCCCTGTGTTCCAACTAGAGACAGGTCTCTGTATCACAGGGAAAGATACCAGCCACATAGCCAAAGCAAGCAAGAAAGAAACACTTAGTCACACCCACTTCCTCCTCTCATTGAACCACCAAAGCCATGTTTGAATTCCCTTCAACCTTCTTATTAAATCATCACCCAGGAAGATGAAATTGCTTAACTTCTAATTTTCAATTTGCATAATTATAAAATGGAGAATAATATTACTTACATCAGAAAACTAAATCCAATTATAGATATAAAGCACTAGTACCTAGCAAGTGTCCAGTAAATGTCTTTTAATAGATATCAACTTAAAAATGATAGGATTGTACAGTTTGTAACCCATTAGTAGATTGTGAAATCAATTTTAGTGTTCAGTGACCATCAATCTAAAGAAGTGAAATAGAATATATATATGTAATTTGTATTATTTCATAAGATGTTTGTTTCCATATAAATGTGGGTATATATGTATATTTGTGTCTTGGGTCACAATGTGAAATGCATTACTGTGGGCCAGATGGAAAAAGGTTTGAAAAGCACTGCAACACAACACACATTAATTTTTTTGTTCCTTTGCTTATTTTTCATGTTGAAGGCAAGACTTTATTTTTAAATAGATTATCTGATTGTCAAAGTTTTGGAAACTATTAGGTTGGTGCAAACATAATTTTGGTTTTTGCATTGTTGAAATTTGCCATTTGATAATAGAATACAACCTTTAAAAAATGTGATTATGTTAGCATCATTTTAATGCCCATTTCTTGCTTTCTTTTTTTGTGCTAATCATTTATCACTTGCTGTTTATTTTATATTTATTTTCGACTAGGAAAATGGTATCAGACAAAAAGCAAATCTGAATGATTTTCTTATCTAAGTTCAACACGGGTCGTAAAGCAGCGGAGGCAACTTGCAACATCAACAGCGCATTTGGCCCAGGAACTGCTAACGAATGTACTGTTCAGTGGTGGGTCAAGAAGTTTTGCAAAGGAGATGAGAGCCTTGAAGATGAGCAGCGTAGTGGCCAGGCATGGGAAGTTGACAGCGACCAATGGGACGATCATCAAAAGTGATCCTCTTACAACTGCGGATGTTGTCGAAGAACTCAGTCAGTCACTTAAGTCGCTTAGTCGTGTCCGACTCTTTGTGACCCCATGAATCGCGCAGCACGCCAGGCCTCCCTGTCCATCACCAACTCCCGGAGTCTACCCAAACCCATGTCCATCGAGTCGGTGATGCCATCCAGCCATCTCATCCTCAGTTGTCCCCTTCTCCTCCTGCCCCCAATTGCTCCCAGCATCAGAGTCTTTTCCAGTGAGTCTCCGAAGAACTCAATGTCGACCATTCTATGGTTGTTCGGCATTTATAGCAAAGTGGAAGTGTGAAGAGCTTGATAAGTGTGTGCCTCATGAGCTGTGAGCGTGTTAGTCTTTCAGTTTTGTCCAACTCTTTGCAACCCCATGGACTGTAGCCCAACAGGCTCTTCTGTCCATGGGATTCTCCAGGCAAGAATATGCTGACTGTAAATAAAAAAAAATGGTGTCGTTTTGAAGCTTCATCTTCTCTTATTCTATGCAACAACAACAAACCATTTCTTGACCAGATTGTATATTAACCCAACAACCAGTGACAACCAGCTCAGTGCCTGGACAGAGAAGAAGCTCCAGAGCACTCCCCCCCCCCCAAAAAAA